TGTCACCATTGGTGCCCCAGAATATACGTTGGACCATGAGGACAGAAACCGCAGACTCCGGATTCTGTTCTAGAAAGACCAAAGATCTCTGGCTCCTTACTCTTCTATTGGAGTTGCTATGTAAGGCCTGATCTATCCAGCTTCAGACATATTAACTGGCGAAATTAAGTCTTTTAAAAAACACTATAACTTTAATAAAAATATTTATCACTGGAGGTGTTGGGGTGTCCTGTGATATAATGTCTAGGTTCTTTGTGTCTCAAATAATGAATTGAGTGAGACCATGATACTGGAGAACCAGGGTTCTCTTTTAAGAGAAACTAATTCTTTGTTTAAGTTACTGTTGTCAGCAAAATAACCAACCAGTTAAGCATTCTGTTTCTACTGTTCCTATGTAGTACTTTCACGTTTTCACTGCACAGGTGCAAAATGCATGAAGATTTTTATGTGTGTGTCAATGTTTATCCTCCTTGTCTCCAGTGATAAAAGCAACATGTTTAGACTGAGTTGCATCTGAACCAGTTTTGAGTGAACCATTTGATTCCACGTTGTAAGACAGAAAGACTTCATTCAAGGCAAAATGGAAGAGACAGGATGAGGAAATTGTTATGAGATTGGTTCAGTTAGAGCTGCAGGGTGTCTCAGTTGACAGGAGTCCAACAGCTGTGGCAGCCCTCCTGACAGGAATCACGTAAGTGAGAGAGCGGGGAATGAGAACTGAGAACCTACTGTGTACCAGGCAAGAGTGTTCTCACTTAATCCTTACAGAAAACATCTGTACAATATATGTCTTGACTTAATGATGATAAAATTGACTCAGAAGAAATAATTTGTCAAAAAGTTGTATAGCTAAGAAAGAAGAGTTTGGATTTAAACTTGAACTCATTGGACTCCCCAGATTATGCTTTCTCTAGTCTATATGATGCTGCCTTTAGGTAGAGGCAGGAGAAGGGAAACAAGGAGTGATCCACATTCAATTTTTATGGAAAAGCATGCTCACATGCCATACTCCCAGAGCCCCAGAGAGCCAGATCCATCCAAAGTTTTGCTATATAGATAACCGTCTCTGACCAGGACAGCAAGATGGCCCTCCATATCACTTTTACTCTTCTTCTGTAAAAGAATACTTACATTTTCCAGCTTCCTTCATATCTAAATGTGACCAAGCAGACTGAATTCTACTGAAAGGGATATGGATGAAAGTCATGCCATTATCCTTGTACAACCCTAAAGGGCACCATTCAGACCATGAGGAAGTTGTGAACAGAAAGGATGCTGTAGCCTCAAATAAAAGAGGCAGATTTCTTCTGAGCATTCTTTGGCTCCTGAGAGACTGTATGAAGGGACCAAGACCAGTCAATATGACAATAGAACTCTGATCCACGGTGTCTTCTGTAAACTGCTTACAACAGTCTGGACCTGATCAGTATGTGATAACTTCCCTATATCACTTTTAGCTTCCAGCTCAGCACCAATCAAAGACAGATGAATATGTCCCCAAAGCCAAACTTTGTAGATCTTGCCTCTAGATTCCCAATGCCAGCAGCCTCTGTCAGGTGCACCTGAGTCCTTCCTCCCTTTGCTCCATGGGAAAGCTTTCCCCTTCTCTGCCCACCTTTGAGGCTCTGCTAAATGCAAGGTTCCTTGTAGCAAGCCCTGAATCAGTAGCCCGGTTTGTCTTTTTTTTGGAATGGTCTCTGTTTCTTGTTCCCCTTCTCTTTAGTGCAATGCAGACATGGGCCAAGTCATCCTGAACTCAATTCACTTAGATGCAAAGATTCTGTATCTCTGGCATTGGGGACCAGACACCTGCTCTGAGACACAAGCAACAGAGAGGCACACTTCAGACTTCAATCTTTTAATTGCTTTGGGTTTATTATGGGTTAACCAATTTCTCTCTCTCTCTCTCTCTCTCTCTCTGTCTCCTCTCTCTCTCTCTCTCTCTCTCTCTCTGAAGCCTTTTTGTTCTCAGATTGAATAGTCAGACTTCATCTCTCTAAACTCTACTACTAATTTGGAACTTGTGCAAGTTTGCCCTGAGGCAGCTTGGGTGTAGGGAACATTTACATTGGATTGAAAATCAGAGTAGGCTGAGCAGACTCATACTCTGGATTTCCGTCATTCAAACTAGGATTTTTTAAGGTGCTTTAGCATCTATCATTTGCATAGAATGATTGATATGTTAATTACAATGGACTCACACCTATTCATTAAGACGCAGAGCTGCTTAGCCAGGGCAGTCTGTGAGCTCTGGAATGCAGAGGAATAAAGCTTATCTGTACACACAACATTCAGGATTTTTACCAATTCCCATTGAATTCTCCCCAAGTCGGGATAAACAAGAACATTTTACTGACTCTTTATCAGATGCTTCTTTTATGTCCCAATTAGATTTTGTCATTGGACATGGCTTTGACTCAGGATATCAGGATACTAAATACAATTTGATGGGGAACATTGCAGGGCAATTTACTACCATCCACATACAATCTGTCCTTCTGGCCACCAGAGGTTCAAGGTCCAGCTTCTAGGAACTAATGACTATATTACATTTCCATACCCATAGGGGAAAATACAGTATTCACTTCTCAGTACCATGGGCACAATTATCTGATGTCCTGGAAGATGCTTGGATCACAAGATGCACTGATATGTAGAATTAATGTCTGAAATTTGTGTTCTTGACCTTCCGAACTTCCAGTAACTTAGAAATTGCTTTATACAAAAAGCACTGATTTCTCACCAGGTTCCAGCAGGTGACTAAAGGCAGGATGGAAACCTAGCACCTTTGCCTTCATTTTTCACCTAACTCCTTCCTTGGAGTCACCTGCTAGCCCCTGCATGCAGGAATGTTAATCACTCAAAGAATACCTACCTAGAAACTGATGACAGCTAACCTGATCTTACTCCTCTCCAAGGCTGAAGGCACAAAGACAAGAATATCAGGTATCTTCCTGTCAGTATTTTGCATGCCCTGTTGAAGACCCTTAAAAGGCATCCAAAGCTGTCTTACGCCTGCAGTTACTGGTGATCCCAGGAACAGCAGAGCCTTGCAGGGACAGACCAGCTCCAAGATTAGGACAGCTATCTATGCTCTAGGCTGCACCCTAAAGAAGGGGGTAATCATCTTATGGATACCAGGCTGTTCCTCTCAAGCAGTAAGGCCTTCTTTGGAGCACCCTGTAGACCCAGAACTGGCGCTATAGGTTAACATAAAATATAGTCTTGATCTTAAAGAGTTCATGGTCTATAGTAAAGACCCATTTACACATACAACTATTATCTAGTATAATAAAAACCATATGACAAACTATCAAGTGAGGACAGAAATGTGAGCTGATGTTAGCTGATGGGGACGGCCTCACACAGGCTAAATAAATAGCATGGGTGTAATCTTACTGGGAGCCTAGTTTTCCAGTTAAATGGGGATGTTTGGGAGGGAGGGGAAAAAGCATTCCAAGGCAAAGGTGAGGGCATTGCCAAGGTATGGAGACTTGAAAAAGGCATAAGAGCGTGTAGTTCAGGAAGGTTGGAGAAAATGAGAAAGAAGCGGGAGATGAGCCAGATGATGGGATCTGGGGGGCATTTTTCAAACCATGCTGGAGGACTTGGATATGATTCTGAGGGTCTGAGACATGTTCAGGCAAGGCTGGGAACTCAAAGGCCTACAGAGGCCAAGGAGAAGATGAGAAGATGCACAACAGGGAGGGGGAACTGGGTGGGAGTCTGGAAGCTGGCGAATGCAGCCCTATCCAAAAGTGGTCATCAATTATCATGGCAGAGTGCAGGCTTTGCATAGCCAAGTTTCCATCTTTCTGTTTTGTTTTGTTTTGTTTTTCCCAAAAGAACTGGTACTAGGAGTGGTGGTGCACCCTTTAATCCGAGTACTCGGGAGGCAGAACTGTGGATCCAGCCTGGCCTACAAAGTGAGTTACAGGCCAGCAGGGACCATAGGGACATATCTCAAAAGAAGGAGAAGGAGGAGGAGGAAGAGACCAAGGAGGAGAGGAGCTGAAAATCCATATTTTGATATCAGTGTTTTCAGTTTTTAACTGTTGGCAGCTATTTTCAAGCTTCATGCTGGTCAAGCAAAAAGATATCTGATGCTCTCTCAGTCCATGGACCCTTGGTTTGGTATTTCTAATCGGAAGTGTCTAAGCAGAGATCTTATCCAGTCAGACTTAGGTTTCAGAAAGGAAACTGAGCCTAACAGTACAGGCCTGTAATCCTAGGTACTCAGGAGCCCGAGGCCAGAGGAGCTTAAGTTCAAGGCCAGCCTGGGAAATTGAAAAAGGCCTTATCTCAAAACAAAAACAGAAACACAAGGGTTTGGGAGATAGAACAGTTGGTAAAGTGCTTGCAGTATAAGCGTGAGAACCTGAGTTTGATACCTAGCACCCATGCTTGGAATTCTAGTAATGGGGAGATGGAGACAAAGGGGTCCCTGGGGTTTGTTGGTGAGCCAGCTTAGCCTAATTAGTAAACTCCAAGCCAGTGAGACTGTATCTCAAAAAACAAGTTGGACACATACTCTAATCGATGAGTCCCAGGCTAGTGAGAGACCGTCTCAAGATGCAGGGTGGCCTGCCTGAGGAATGACACCTGATTGACCTCTGGCTTCTGCATACACATACAACCACAACCACACAGACACATGCACTACCCCAAGTGAACATGTATACATACAACACATAAACACAAAATAAATACAAAAAATGTCTGGGATTTAACTCAGTTTCAGAGTACCTAGTGTGTGTAAAGCCTTGGGTTCGATGCCCAGCCCTGAAAGATGAATAAATTCCTTATATAGCTCTACATTATCTTTCTACATCAGTCTCTTACAGCGAGAACCTTTTCCCATATCTCAACCCATGCAATATTTGTCCCCTTGACTGTCCTCCCAATCCCTTCCCAGCACCAACTGCTTTTGGCACAGGGAGTTTCTAATGAATGAAGATTGCCATAGAGAAATGCATTGTAGAGAAATGCTTAGCGCTAAGGACACAAGAGAGCCATATTTATTTCACATGGACAAGCATGATTCCACGCATGCTGAACATGAAAGCTCGTGTGAGGAAAGTACCCGTAACAGCAGAATTATGTGCTTTTTTCCGCAGGGAGCAGGGAGAGTCACAGAGTGCCTATTGAAGGCAGCAGCCTCCAAGTACAGCGGAGATCACAGGCTTTGAAGTCACTGGCTTATTTCGTCATCACAGGGTCCATCTCCTGGGGTGACAGGAGGGTGATTCTGGCTCTGCACTCTGTTGATGAGCTGCTGAGTTGTGAGGAGGACCAAGGATGGTCTTCCAGCACCCAGGGCTGCTCCAGGAAATTAAGCTCAGAGGGAAGGTACATGCCACATGGAATTAAGAAGGTCACTCCTGAGTGGACAGTGACAGGATGGACTGCTGTTCTCACAGCAAAGGAGCCATCACAACTTAGAGCATCCCCCATCTTTGGGAGAACCACTCTTCTTACAGGGACTCCCTAAGGCCGCTTATGGGCAGAAGGGAGAACCATTTCCAGGGTTGGATGGATATACCGGAAGCAGCTAGACTTTGCTTGGACAGACTGGTGAGAGCCAGTGGCAGGAACCACAGTCTCTTGGCCTTTATTGGGCCTCCTGGTTCCAAGATGATCCACCCTGGGGTTCTAGATGGGAAGAGGGGCTGGAGATGAGGATGGGTAACTTTGAAAGCAATCCTCATGGAAGAGACAGGAGGAAGGGCCCTTGTACCTGGGGCGTGACTTATTCCCACCTAAAGTCCTGCCCAACAGTTTCATAAAATTTAATGTTATAAGGTCTATAAAATTCCCGGAGCTGGTCTATCACTTCAGGGTCGATCTGTACATGAGTTCTCCCTTTCGATTTGCCCAGGCACCGAGGCAGGAGGCTCGACTCTGGTTTTTTCAAGCAAGGGAATCCTTTGGTCTTGTTGAAGTAGAAGTGCTTATCTGTGATGAATCTCTTGATGCCCAAGAAGTCCTGAATGCGTCCCATCTCACCTGCTGGATCTGTGATGAGCCGCTCGCCGCTGACAAAGTGGATCTGGGCCAGCGGGAAGTATTGCAGCCAGCTCTCCAGGTGCAGCGCATACATGCCGATGCGGATGGCATTCCAAGACACATCCACCAGGCCCAGGGTGCGGTTGCGGAAGGACAGGCCCTCGAAAGTGGGGATGTCTGGCTTCTTGGAGAGCGTCTGAGTGTAATCAGAGATGGCTCGGGTCACAGGGTTCCGAACCACCACGATCAGCTTGGTGTCTCGGGACATGTTGAATATTCGTCGAGGGGCCTCTTGGGTGACAAAATAGCTGGGCGTCTTCTCCAAAGTGATCTGAGTCTCCAAGGTCCTGGGCATCAGGCTCCTGGGGGCAGAAGTAACGCAGCATCAGACAGGGTGCGGCTGTTTGGGGTCGCACCTCAGGCACTGCCCTATCTCCCTCCACCCGGGACCACTGCAAGTCCCCTTCTCTTTTAAACTATTTGAGGTTCTTACCTGGCAAGGAACCCACTTTAACTCTTGTTGAATTTTAAAAATATATTAAACAAGAGTTTCTTTAAGACTATAAACAAACTAAGCATCTATCACTGGGTCAAACAAATTGTGGAACAGCCAACTCACAGGAGCGGGATAGATCTGTATTAATACGGAATGATTTTCAACATACAATAAGCCTCCATATCTGTGGGTTCTGCATCCAGAGATTCAACCAATTGTGGGTTGAAAATATTTGGGGAGGGCTGGAGAGATGGCTCAGTGGGTAAGGACTTGCCAGGCAAGCATGAAGACCTGAGTTCAGATCCCCAGAACCCATTGAAAACTGGATGCATTTGGCATGTCTGTAAATCCCATCATCACTCCCACCAAGGTGAGAGACAGACAGGAGAGTCCCTGGAAGACTGTGGGCCAGCTGGCCTGAAGTATGCATCAGTGAACAAGAGACCTTGTCTCAAACAAGGTAGAAAATGATGACCGATGACCAATATCTGAGGCTGTCCTCTGATCTCCACATATATGATATGCTACCTGCACACAAACACACATGCACCCACACATACACACAGAGGCAGACACAAAGATAAATTTTTGAAAAAGGAAACACTTTGGGAAAATGCATCTGTACCAAATATATACAGATTTTTTTCTATATTGCAGCTACATTGTATTATGTACTATAAGACCATAAGCTACATAGAGACGATTCAAAGACTACATGAGGGTGTGGGGGAATATACGCAAATACGACACTATTTTATATAAGACACTTGAGCATCTGTGAATTTGGGTATTGTGTAAATGTTTAGAAGTATTTCCTCATGGACACCAAGGATGACCCTATCTCTTTTAATGAAGAAAGGCAAGCTATAGCATGCTTATTTTGGGAAGGATACACAAGAATCTGGTAATTGTAGCTGCTTCTGTGGAGGGAACTGTAGGTGGGTGTAGAGCTAGGTGATTGGGGACAAATAAGAATTACATTTGATTGTATAATCCTTTACGCTGCTTGAAATTTTTAATGTGTTTATTATGTATTCAAAAATACAAAGTGAGCCATTGAATATTATTCTGGCAAAAGATACTTCTCCAAATACATTAAGTAAATCTTTTTTTGAGTGGAAAAGGCTTGTTTTTGCAAGAATAGAAACTGTTATAGAAATGAGTTCTGACGTCTTCTGTCGAAAAACAACTGAATTACATCCTTTGTGTAGGTTGCAAGAAGCACAAGGCTCTCCAGGCTGGCAGGAGCTCAGTAAGAGCCAGGTAACGTGACTCTCTCTCCTTTGGTTTTAAATTTTTTGCTCTGCTTGGGACTTTAGGGGATGAAGATACAGGCTCCACAGCCTCCCTTCTTTGTGCCTTTCTCAGGCCTTGATGGCAGGGAATACCTCTGGCTCCCAGTCATTATTTCTTTCTGATGGTCATGTTTTGCCTGCAAACTGGTATTTCTTGATGTTGGCTGCACATGAACACTACATAAGGAATTAACTTCCCTTCTCCCTTCTCCCTTCCTTCCTTCCTTCCTTCCTTCCTTCCTTCCTTCCTTCCTTCCTTCCTTCCTTCCCTCCTTCCTCCTCCCCACCCCCAATTCTCCTTCTTTAAATAAAGATGTCTGAGTTCCATCCTAAACCAATTCAAAGCATTTAGGGGTAGATATTTTTTTAAAGCTCATTTTCAAAGTTCACACTGAACCAGATGACTCCAATGGGAAAGCAGAGCTGAGATACACTGTTCCCCAATCCTGCATCCCTCACTCCCAACTTCACAATTCACTGGCCCCCATAGCATCCATCCTTGTGTTCCATTGGGACACAGACTCCCAACTCCTGGCCTTCTTGCCAACCCTGTCATCTCCACCTGGCCTCATAGCTCTCTGACCTCTAGTCCAGCTATCTCCTATCATTCTTTTCTTTTCTTTAGAAATGCTTACTCATGGCCAAACCTTGGGCCTTGGCATTGAAACTGTTATGACTCTGAAATGTTCATTCTTGGACTGTGTGAGGGGTTTAAGGCTGACTCTTCAAAAGATATCTACCTGTAACTTATGAATGTGACTTTGTTGGGAAAAAGAATCCATGAAGACATGAAGTTGAAGACCTATACCTTGAATGAATGTGGGACTTAAATCCAGTGACAAGTGACCTTATGAGACACATGGGGAAGAAGGTGAGCTGAAGAGAGTGTGGAGTAATATACCTACAAGCCAAGAATAGCATGATTGTCACCAGTAGTCACAAAGCAGCTCTGTCTCACAGGAGACTAACTCCGCTAACAATCTGACCTCCAGAGCCCTGAAAGAATAACCTCTTGCTTTATGTTACGGTTTCAGGTCATTTGTTATGACAGTCACAGGAAATGGCAGATTACAACTTTGTCTCCTTTCACCTTTACCACTGTTTCAAACTCATTATACCTGTCCTCAAATTAATCTGTGAACTTCTTGTTTTCACTTTCTTCCATTCTCTGGACCAGTGAACAATAATTTCAGTATCATCATCATCATCATCATCATCATCATCATCAACCAGAAGGTCACCTGCCTTGAATCATTTGCCCTTTCAGTCTCTAATAATGTAGCATTCCAACCCTTCATTTCTTCCAATTCTACCCTTGACTTGTCAACCATCAGTGGACAGAATTGTTGACGCTTTATGTAATTATCAATTCTAGTTTTAGTTGAGTCTTCAGCATTGCTTTGCAATGTCGTATTTGTCTTTACAGTGCCCCCAGTCATTCTCCATTGTAAATGTTCCAAATCCCCAACACGCTCCTTTTATCCACTCTTAGTATGCAGCTAGTTCCCACTATACAAGGAAGGGGAACCCTGCCACATCTCAAGTCTTTCAATCCTCCTCTTTTGAATCTTGAATCCTGCAACTGTCTTGCTGCTTTCAGAGAACAGAGTGTGCAGAGACTCACTGTCCCCCTATGCTTAGATCATTTCCTCAGGCTTCTTTGCAGACCCACCCTTTGACTTCTTGAACCTCCACATTCACTGTGCAACTAGGCTGATGCAACTGATATTTTTTGCTTCAAGACCAAAGTTCAGCCTTGTGGGCTGAGAGTTTTACCAGTATTTAATGCTGAGTGGGCAATATTTTTTAAGATGGGATATCAAGTCAGTTGTAGTGGCATATGTCTATAATCCAAGCACTTGAGAGGCTAAGGCAGGAGGATTGTAGATTTGAGGCTAGCCTGGGCTACATAGTGAGACCTTGTCTGAAAAGAAAGAAAGGAAAAAAAAGAACATTATGAGCAAACAGCCCCAATGCATTTCAATAGAATTCAGTGTCTGGATTTTCTTGGAAATAAACTTGGTACACATTATAATTAGACAATTGGGGGTTTGGTTGAAAATGTGAGTAGATGAAATTATATACGCAGAACAGGGGATTTAAACCTTGCCTAAGGACTTTTGCAAACTCTGTGGATGTTATTGATGTAAAGGTCTTCCACAGTACAGAGATGCTGGTGACTTGACAGATCATTAAACGTATTTCTTTATAATATTCTTTAGTACAGTAAAGAACATCCAGGAAGGGAGTAGTAGAAACAGTACTTCCCAAGCTCAGTGGACTATGGACCGGTGAACTTTTGCCCAAAGCATCTGATAACATGCCTCATTGTTACCAGTTTGGAAAATCCTGATAAATTCCAATGATCTCCACAGCACCCCCAAGCTGGGCTCCAACAGAAGTGCCACTATTCTGATTCCTAATAGGCCCATCGGTTGCAAAACCAAATGACAGATGCTAAAGTATAAGAACCAAACTGAGCTAATGAGATGGCTCAGTGGGTATGAGCAATTGCTGTCTAAGCATGAGGGTCTCAGTTCAGATCCCAATAGCCATGAAAACACCCAGGTGTAGTTGAGCACACCTGTAACCCCAACTCTGTAGGGAGGCAGAGACAGGAGGATTGCTGGGACTTGCTCGCTGACAGCCTAGCTCTAGGTTCAGTGAAAAGCCTGACTCAAGGGAGTAAGGTGGAGAGTACCTCTGTATGCACACACAGGAAATGCACATCTGCATGCATGTGCCCACCACACACACACACACACACACACCAGAAGAAGGACCATATGACAAATAAATTCATAGTAGTTATGCCACAAGTTGAAGGGCTCTTGTGCACAGCAGCTTTTCTCTATGCCTCCAAAGGACACCCTAGAACATTAATTTCTCTTTAGGTCATTGGATCCTATGGTGATAATATGCAGAGTAGCTCCATAGCCACCACCATGCTCTCTGCACATAGCTTGTCACACATTAGACATTGCCTAAAGGGGGCAATGGGGCACATTAGACATTGCCTTAAGGCCTGACTTTTCTCCTTTTATCAGAATTTAACTTTGCTTGTTTACAGCTGCTAGCAACAGCTGAACACTTATCTCATTCCATAACCCCATTGAGTTTCCATCTCCCTTCTTTTTCTATGTAGCACTGAAAAAGAAAATATTGGGAGAACTGTCCAACACACACTGTTTGGACTTACATCCCATCTGTTGTTTTAATTTTCTCAGCAGCAATTTTCCCTGCATCCAGTCACAGCCCCCAGATTTTCCTTTGTGGAACCACCCTTCCTACTGCGGACGAATCTTGGTGGGCTGAAGAGTGGGTGCGTAATGGAAGTCAGGCCAACGAAAGCCAGTTCTGTCACAAAGACTGAGGATATGTCATGAGGACGGGAAATGGCGCTCTTCCGACCAGACACAGGGCCCTGAAGGGTTCCTAGCAGTATCTGTTAGAAGGGCCTGTGGTTCTCTTGGCTCTTGCCCTTTCTGAGCCCTCCTTACACACCTTTCCTATGAATGACCACGACTCTGAGTTGCAGGTGGCTTCTGATGCTTGTGCCTCTGTCTTTTGC